TTTGATTTGCTATCTGTGATAATAAAAACCCCCTGTTGGTTAAGCTGCTTTTAGCTGGGTCTTTTATTATTTATAGCCTACAGCATCTCAGTGGAAACAGATACCAAAGTAATGGCCAAATGATTTACAGAAAATGCGGACTTTGTACGTACTTCTCTTCAGAAAATAGGAGATTTGACCAAACTGGGCTTGCCTTCCTGGAGGGCAACAACTAGCTAGTGCTGAGAAGGCTTGAGACACTTCCCTGGGGCATGGGCTCTTTGGTTCCCCATGGTCCCTCCCACTCCTCAGCAGCACTGTCCCAACCTGGTGTCCTCACTACACTTCTCTCCTCCCTCCAGGTATTTGACTTTTTGGCTGCTGATCTCCGATATGGAACCCGGGCAGGGTTCCCCAACCAAGGAAGTGAGTCTTGCCAACCGAAGCCTCTAGGCTGGGCTCTTTGTATTGCTGTGAAGCTCATCCTGAAGACATTCAAGTGGGCAAGTTCCATCGCCACCAGAAGGGCCATCACTGAGTCTCCACATGTGCAGAGCTGAGAAGACAGGCTGTGTCACTGTAACCTGCCACTCCCATTCCACATGGCCATGCACAGTGTGATAAGTTTGGGGTCTACTTGCTGGGCCACCAGCCTTAGTAATGTCTCCCGTGTAAGGTGGGGGGCTGCCTGCTGACACGTCCTAGGATGTGTGGCCTAGTTCACATCTGTAAACAGACTGTGGAGAACTGGCTTGCTCTCTTCTTCTCTCTCCTGCCGGCCTGAATCCTGCATCTCGTTCCTTCGGACTTAAGCTGGCAGCTCACCATACGGCCTGCAGGTCTTAGCTGTTGGCAGTCTACCACGTTGCCTGCCTTGGATCCACTCGACTCTGCCACCACCAGCCTGTGATCCTCCTGCCTACTGCCTCATCTTCCTGCTTCCTAATTTCTTGGTCAGGGAGCTGCAGGAGTCAGGAACAGCTTCTGAGTCAGAGTCAGACCCACGGATGGAGCTGGACTGGGTCTTCTGCTCGGTAGCTGTGGGGACCACTTCCTTTATATATAGATTTTGTTTTCTTGATGTGAATTTCTATTGTATACATCAATGAGTGTGGTTGGTTTGTTTCTCTGGAAACCCCAGCTAGCACAGCCATAATCATCGGCAACCCTGCCCATTCCATTCCGCAGGGTTTTGTGGAAGCCTGGTTTTGTGAACGAGTCTGACCTCGTAACCCCTCCCATTCCAAACAGAACAGGGGCTGCAGAACAAACCCCCTCATTTCTGGGCATCTTATTGCTGCACCACGATGTGAACATTGCTTTCACCTTAATTGAGCATGAAATTAAAACATGCAGATCTGCATGCCACGTAACGCCTGCCTTTTCTGAACTGGCTTCCACTGATAATTACGGCTCCTCAGCATCCTGCCAGAAGCTTCGTGCTAGGACGTCCTCTGCTGTATTAATGATGTGTTCATCAAGGCTTTTACGTGGCCTGTCTTGGGATTTCCATTCAATTATCTGCACTCACAATCCTCTGTTCCTCGTAACTCTGAACCATCCTTTCTGGCCATTTGTCTTTAAATATTGAATTTCCATTTCACGGTCCAAGATTTTAAGCCATCATTAAGTGAGGCTCATCTCTTTCGCTCTTTTTACAAACCAAAGCGCAGCCGCCATGGTGGCATCGGCCCTGATGCACCGAGCGTGGGCGGAGGGGAAGCAAGTGGCCTTTCCTCAGCCACCCTCTTTCAGAGACAGATCGCCAGGCCCTCGTTCTCAAGGGCTTCGGAGTGGTTTGGAACCACCAGCGGTGCCGTTGACTGTGGAGTGCTTAATCATCGGCGCCACGCAGGCATTCATGGTCTTACCCCTTGCTATGGCACAGATTTGGCAAAACTAGAATAGAAGAGGTGTGTGGTAGTCAGGCCTGACTCATAGCAACGCGATGCACAACAGCAGGAAACGCCGGGGGTCCTGCCCGCTCTTCACCCTTGTCCCTATGTGGGAGCCCGTCACTGAAGCCGTCCACCGAGGGACCTGCCAAATGTTCCTGGAGAACATTCAGCGAGCTTTTCTCTCCATTTCCCATGGACTCTTCAAAGCCTCCGTGTTTAAGATCTGTAACAGAATGCTCTCTACCGTGAGCAAATCTTTGTTTAGACTTTCATTTGGGGCCCGGTTTTCGCAAAGGATGAGTTCTTCGTTAAGCCAGTGTGCGCTTCAGCCTCCCGACTTTATAGGAATGTGAAATTCTGGATTGAAGATTATGTTCTGGGACTTGTGGTAGCTTAGCTTTTGAAGTGGCGGCTCTGGCTACTGCAAATGGTTCCACATCGAGAAATTGGCTGTTCCAACCTACCCAGAGGCAATGAGGACGTCAGGCCAGGTGGTCGTCTGAGCCCTGTGGAGAATTCTACTCGGCACACAGGGGTTGATGGGTTCTCAATTAACTCAGTGGCAACTCACAGCAAGCCCCGAAAGTAACATACCCCTGGTTATTTGGTTCAATGGAGTGAAGAAATAGCGCCCCTACAAAATGCATTAGCCAACGGTACCTTAGTGATGCAGGCTCCATGGAACTTTTGGGACTTGCTGCATTGCTCAAGAGAAGACAGGTTAGATGTGGTGTCACCGAAAAGGGCCAGGTAGTGCTGAGAGTCTGCTCCGATGGACCTGTTAATAATGGAAAGGGAGGCCCTGCTATCTACTGAGGCAACAAAGACATTCTAAGATTGGCTTCAGTCTTAACGGAACCTTATTGCTCCATTTGGTTGACCATGGCCAACAGGCGTTTCCCATGGTTACCCTGAAACCTGAATTTAATGTTCAACACCCACACATGCCTCCCTAAAGTGTACATTCCAAAGCCAGTGGTATATATTCTCTATGTGTTCTGACTTCAAACAGGACGCCACAATGACAGCCAGCATTGCCCCACTGTGGTCTCCTCTCTGGTAGACCTTCAAGATCAAAACCTCCCCTTCGTCTTGAGATTTGGGTTGTGGAAACTGGCTGCACCACTTCTGGGTAAAATACCTGCATTTCAGGTGACAGTAATTCACATTTGTTTTCAAAGTCACTTGCTCACGTACCTGCTATCATTGAGAAAAAAAGAAAAAAAATATATATATATATATGATGAAAGTCAATTCAAACCTTCTGCTTCCCACCTCCCATACACAGAATGATCACCTTTGTGGCTCCGGGTCCTGAAGGACTAAGTGGGAAGGTCTACGGTGCCGAAGGCTGCCCAGGCTCCTTGAACAAGGTCTGCACCAGGAGGCCCAGGCACTCAGGGCACAGTCCCCTCAATGCCATGCTGAGGGGTCTGGCCAGCAGGCCCAGGCCAGCGCTGCTCGCTGCATGAATGACATGGTGACTTGGCTCTTTCCAAAAGCTATCTGTTAAGCTCCCTGCTGGGGAGTGACACTCAAGGAGGCATCCAAGATGCATCACCCGACTGCGGGCCCAGCAGTCTGGAGAGCCTCACAGTGCAGCCATTCAGAGTGGAAAGCAGAGGGTGCTCGCTGCTTTGAAAAGAGCAAGCTGGCCAAGGGGCAGTGGGAGCTGCCCAAAGACTCTAGAACAGCGGTTCTCAACCTTCTCAAACTTCATACAGTTCCTCATGTTGTGGTGACCCCCCCAACCATAAAATTATTTTCGTTGCTACTTCATCACTGTAATTTTGCTACTGTTATGACTCAGGCAACCCTGGTGAAAGGGTCATTCAACCCCCAAAGGGGTCGCGACCCACAGGTTGAGAACCTCTGCTCTAGTTTTCCAAAGTGGGTAATACTGTCCCCTGGGGGTGCTGGTACAAGCCAGGAGGCTTCCAAGGCAGACAGACACCTGTACTTCATCCTGAATGATAGGCTAGAACACTAATGTTTGTAATTGCCTTGGGGTTGCCCAATCATTTCTTTAAGGGGCTATAGGCCATGTACGTTTGGGGACCAATGCTGCAGAACGAGGTCGGGCAAACTTCTGAGATGGAGGAGCCCATGCTGTTCCTGACAACACTATCCATAAATATGTGTTTGCAATCAAATGAAATCACCATTATCTGTAGACTATCCTTAAGAATGTTATATAGGAAAGGATGATAGTTTTATTTGCCTTTTCCATTTTACCCCGGAGCCACATGTGCGTACTGAGAGAGCCGCATATGGCCTCGGGAGCCGCCGTTTGCTGACCCCTGCTCTAGCCAGTGCACTGATCCCAATGCTTAAACATTGCAAAGAGCTGAACAGCAGGCGTGATGTGTTTCCTGGACATTCATGCCCACCCTCGCTTGACGGAACACTTTCTGCAGGCCAGGGGTGGGATCTGGGAGACCAGCCGAGGAACCCACAGGTAGCACAGAGCCCAGCAAAACTCACCTCCTCACAGGAATTAACTCTAACCTGAAGCTGATTCCTTGGACCCTGGGCTCATCACCCAGCAGCGTACGTGTGTTTTCACGTGTGTACACTGCTGGAAGGGCTGGAGGTTTGCTAATGGTCTGATTTGGAGAGACGTTAAGTCAAGCCTTCCCGTCCCTGCTCCTTGAGATGAGGCCCAAGACACTGGGCTCCTAGTCTGTGAGATCAGCCCCCATTTCCCGTAGAGGGAAAACAGAACTCACTGGAAGAGGATACGCTACAGGACCAGCTCTCAAGCCTGCTCTGGAAGTATGGGGAGAAGGATGCCTGCAGCCACCTCCTCCCCTACCCCGACCCACATCACACATCTGCAGCTTCCCTGTTCTTGTACCCAGCCCATTCCCTTCCCCAGGGAATGATGCACAAAGCCCCGGACATGCAACAGCGCTGCTCCCAGTTTCAACGCCACTGGAGCAACATAAGCTTATTATAATAAGCTCAGAGTCAGAAAGCCTTTAAGTCTTTGCTTCACTGCCCAGCCCACAGCATGACCGACAAACAGAGCGGGCTCGGGCCTGGTTTCCCACCTGTCTCACCTGTGACCCTTAACTGCATCCCTGAAGTGCTTTGACAGCGCTGGACGGCCAACACCAGGTCTTCCAGGTGGGAGGTTTTATTATGTTTTACAACCATGAAAACACAGAGAGGAAGGTGGCTGGTACAGCAATCGTGTCGGCTATGTAGGCTGAGTGGCCCCCACCCCCCACTGGCAACCTCCTTCCACAGTCTCCCAGAGACGGTTCCTCATGTCCTTCCCTTGCCAACTCAAGAACGTTGAAAAGTAAACATTTAAAGTAGCGAGGGACACCTTCGTCAGCAGAATGGAAGCAGAAGAATAGCTTTGAGAAACAACAGATGAGCAACACACTACAGAAAACCTTTCCTATGGTGCTATGGTGTCTGGGCGGCAGGTGCACCCAGGGCTGAGTGTTCGTCCTCCCCAACACCAGTCATACGGGGCCTTCGGTGAGGCCCTCCAGAGGCAGGCTGGGCGCGCTGTCCACGGTGGGCCTCTCGTCCTTCTTCAGCGAGGTCGGGACCCGGAGGCTGACGTAGGGTTTATGGCAGGCTGTGTTGGCCAGAGGAGGGTAGTGCTGTCTGTAGCACAGGTAGGCAAAAATGAGGCCAATGATACCGCCAACCAAAGAATCTGGGCAGGAGAGAGCAGAAGAGGAGAAGCGTGTGAAGAGGCATTCCAACGGAGCCCGGTAGACTTCTCCGGAAATCTCGGTGCCCACCTCCTCCACTAACACGGTCACTTATTGCTACTGTTGTCAGCTGCCACAGAGCTGGGTACAGATCACGGACAGCCCATGAACAGTGGAAACAACGCCACCGATCCTTCGCCCTCTCCATGCCTACCACGACTAGTTGAAGCTTGGACCGTTGGGATCTAGAGGGTCTTCAGCGGCTGATCTTTGGAAACACATCTCTAGGCCTTTCTCTCTCGTCCAATTTCGTCTGGAAAGTTCATCGCAACGTGCAACCCGCGCCCCCCCACTCACAGATGGGTGTTTGTTAGGCATGAAGTATACTGGCCAACGATGGACCAGGGGCTTCCTTCCGCATGGAAAGCGAGACTTCTGCCCTTGAGCTTTCATGGCCCCTCGGTTTGATGATAGGACACCCCCCGCCCCCGCCCTGGGGACCAAATGAGAAAGCATGCTGGAGAAGTAACCCTGCAGCCCCATTGGCGTGTGCACGTCCCTTTAAACACACACGGATTCTCTCTCCGCACCTGAACATGGCATGGACCCGGACTCGTGCTCCTGCTTTTGAAAGTCAGTTCTAAATTCTGGACGGAGAATTCAGGCCATGGCCACAGAATCTAAGCACACACTTGGGAAGGAATATCTTGTCTTGAGCGGGTTCCCCCAGGAGTCCAGTGACATCAGTGAGTCTGAGAAACCAGTGATTAAATCCAGTCTTTGCTCTGTCTTGAGGGGCCATGATTTCCCAGGGATGCGACAAACCTTCCGAGTCATAGACAAGAGAACCCAACATCTGATGAGCAAAATCCACAGCCCCCTGGGGTTGGCAGAGGATCCAATCTCCCCAGGGGGCTGGTCTTAGCAGTGGGGGTGGTGGATGGGGGCAAAAGATGAAATGAGGTGGGAGGGGTACATTAGAGATAAAACAGGCCCTCCCCAGAGAATCCTCCAAAAAGAAGGTGACCATTTGGAGCTCTATAGGCCCCCCAGGAAAGAAAACTACTCAAGGAATCCTCATTAAGCGTGTCTACAGATCCTCTCACCCAAAATGCTGTAGCGCAACGGAGGTCTGGCTGTCCCTAAGGAAGGAAATGTGGAGCTCTTGATAAGCTTGCTGCCGACCTTGTGTGTGAGGGGCCCCTACTTCCACATATGTTATCCTGTTTAATCTCATGAACCACCGCTGGGCAGGTAACTCCAGCCCATTTTACCAAAGCAAGGAAGGCTCAGAGAGACCAACTGACCACCCCATAGCTTTGGCTCTACCATGGGGCTGCGTTGGCACCCTGCTGGGTTCCGGGCTGACATCCCAGCCTTTTGAAGGTAATAAGGGTGTGGCTACCTGAGTTCAGATGGGGTGCAAAGGTACTCCTTGTCTGATCCAGGCTCATGGTAGCAAGTTTCCAAACACTCCTCAGGAAAGGGCACGCTGCTTGGGTCCTGAGGTTAAGTCACAAATAAATCCCACTGTGTTGTTGGTAAAATTCTCATCAGCTGCCAAGGAAATGTATCTTTTGAGGAAATGCCTAACGTAGATATATCTGCAATGTAAATTTTAATCTTGTGGTAGGCATGTTACAAGTATCTTGGCTCCGCCTAGGTCTAGCAAAATAGTTTTGGGGGGCTTTTTTTGAGAATGAGGACAATATTTTTACATTTCATGATCTCTCCTGGAATTGCTTCTACTATCTGTGGTATCAGCTCACCTGGTCGAGCAGCCATGAAAGAAGATAGAGTGGGAGGAGGTTATAGGGGACAACCGTGAAACCCAGCTTGTCCTGAGACTACAGGTGGCAGAGTCTGGGGCCACTGGTAAGGTATCTAGCACCACCGCCCAACACGAATCTTCCACTCTGAGGACTCCTTAATCCGAATCACTGCCGCGCCAACCAAGACAAGCCACGTCACCTCTTCCGTTTCTCTGTCAAATAGAGATCGCAATGTCCACTCCACCGAGCTGCGATGACGAGCTAAGGCTACTGTCTTAGAGTCTGTCACAAACTAAGAACTTAAAACACAGTGTCAGGGAGAGTGTGTTTAATGCAAATAACACACACATGATGTGGTTCCTGCCAGTGGTGGGGCCTCGCGTTAGTCTCTATGTGAGTTGTGTGCACTGCATGCACAAGGGTGTTATGTGGGAACACACAGCAGCGCCCATCACTCTTTTTTCACAGTCTGTTCCTCGGATGCCACTCCAGAACTTCCCCTTACTATCCCTCTCCTCAGATAGCAACTCAGAAGGTAAACTGGAGTTCTAATCTTCTTACCATGGCCACATCACTGTTACTGTTTTTCGCAGCATTTTAAATAAACTTCTAATGAACTTGAAAGCATTTGTCACTCCAGAAATGGGGAAGCAATCTGTGCCATAAACTCTTGCGCAGGGTCAGACGACATCGTTGCTGTGATTAAATGATGTGGTTCAAATAGGAAAGAAGTGTACGTGGCCTGTGGCCACCAGCCTATAAAATCTGCCAGGGCCTCTTGAAGTTCAAGGTCTTAGAGTTGCACTCGTGTTTTGTTTTTCCTCTAACCCCAGGCAACAGCTCCACGGGGTATTCTTTTATTAGCATCTAATATGATCTACGGCATCTGCTTCTGATCCAATGATCATGGAAGAGACCCAACAGCAAAGCCTACAAATAATATCATTTGACTTTCTATTTTCTGTAACACGGCATTTCATTAGGTGGATCATTGGCCAAGAGACATCAAAGCATTCCAAGTATGTGTTTGCTAGGCTTACTAATTTAGCAGCCTGAAAGCAAATTAAGGTTCCTGCCAATGCTTTGCCCATTTAGTGGAATGAGTGAGAAGTCACATCCTGGAGTGTGTAGTGCTATCAGAAGTAACAAGCTCAAGGCAAAAGCTATTCAAGCCACTCTGAGCAAAGTCACTGCGAACAATGTTTATTTCAAATAACTGGGGGGATGGAGTCGGACAATGATTTACTTGATGAGGGTGACTGTCATCAAGGGCCTCCAGTGGGCTGTTGTTATTTGGATGCAATCACCTTGGAGCTCGGCAGGGCTGGTGTGGACATAAATGCAGGCGGGATCAAGTTTATTGCGCAGAAGCCATTTGGGTTGACGTCATTCCAAATATGGTGGCATGCAACTGGAAGGCTCCAAAGGAAAACGCATGGCTTTCCAAGTGCCAAGAATGCAAAATACTGCTGTCTCCTTACTTAGTATTTGTCTTATTCTTCATAGAAGCCATTCATTCAGTGAGTCGACATATTTGTAGAGTATCTACTAGGTATCACATGAACAAAAGATACTATCCATGTGGAGACTATATTCGAATGCACAAGCCAGCAAACTTTGTAAAACCATCCATTTGCATATTGCTTGTAGATTTTTCTCTTGAAAACAGCAAGTTGAATACTTAGGATGGAGATCTTAATGAGGCCCACGGAGCCTATAACTTTTATAATCTGGCCCTTTACTGAGAAAGTTTGCCGACCTCTGACTGGTGGATGATGACAGATAACACCACATTCAACAAATTAACCGATCATTGTTTTGATAGGTGCTGTCCAGTGGGTTCCATCTCATAGCAACCCTATGCACAACAGAATGAAACCCTGCCCAATCTTGCATCAGTCTCACGTCCATTACTAGCTTTGGACCCATTGTTGCAGCCACTGTGTCAATCCATCTCATTGAGGATCTTCCTCTTTGTTGCCGACTCTCTCTACTTTACCAAGTCCCATTTCTTTTTCCAGGGACTGGTCCATCCAAATGACATGCCCAAAGAGCACAAGATGAAGTCTGGCCATGCTTGCTTCAAAGGATCATTCTGGCTGTACTTCTTCCAAGATAGATTTATTCATTCTTCTGGAAATCCGTGGTATATTCAAGATTGCTCACCAACACCATAATTCAAGTAGATCAATTCCTCTCAGGTCTTCCTTATTCATTGTGCAGGTTGCATGTGCATGTAAGAGGACTGAGAATACCCTGGCTAGGACTGGGTGCATCTTAGACCTCAAAATGATATCTTTGCTCTCTAAGACTTTGAAGATAATCTGTGCAGCATATTTGCCCAGTGCAATCAGTCTTTTGATTTTTTGACGAATGCTTTCATAAAGATTCATTACAGATCTAAGAAAAAGGAAATATCTAATGACCTCAAGCTGTTCTCCATGTATCATGATTTTGTTGATTAGCCTAGTTATGAGGATTTTTATTTTTACACATTAACACAGTTTTTTACAAATCTATACTGTAGTCCTTGACCTTCATTAGTAAGTGTTCCAAGTCCATTGGGCTTTCAGCAAGCATGTCTATATCATCTGCATATCACACATTGTTAATGAGCCTTCCTCCAAATCTGAGACCATGTGCTTCTCTATACAATCTAGCTTCTCAGATTATGGGTTAGCATACATATTGAATAAGTGTGATGAAAGGATACAACCTGACTCACAACTCCTGATTTTAATACAGTCGCCATCCCTTTGTATCGGTTCCTCATGAGCATAATTCATTGTTCTGGAATTCCTCTTCTTCCCAATGTTGTCCATAGTTTGTGATGACTCACACAGTTGAACGCGCACACAGTTGATTGCACTGGCAATAATGCAAATGGAAATCCTTCTGGTACTCTTTGCTTTTGATCAAGATCCATCTGACGTTAGCAATGATAGCCTTTATTCCAGATCCTCTCCTGCATCCAGCTTGAATTCTGGCAGCTTCCTGGCAGCAAACTGTTGCAACCATTTTAGGAAGATCTTTAGCAAAATATTACTTGCATGTGATTTTAATAATATTTTTGCATATTATAATTATTTCCATATTCTGTTGGGTCACCTGTTTTGTGTGTGAAATGGGCACAAATATGTATTTCTTCCAGTTGGATGGCCAGGTAGCTGTCTTCCAAATGTCTTGGCATAGATGAAAGAGTGCCTCCAGCATTCTATCTATTTGTTGAAACATTTCCATTGGCATTCCATCAATTCCTGGAGTCGTGTTTTTCACCAACACCTTCAGGGCAGCTTGGAGGTCTTCCTTGAATACCATCGGTGCTTGATCATATGCTACCTCTTGAAATGGTTGGCTCTTAACCGGTTCTTTTGGCTCGGCGAGTCTGTGTATTCCTTCCGTCGTCTCTGGATGCTTCCTGCACCAGCCAATATGTTTCCCATAAAGCCCTCACGACTGCAGCTTACGGTCTGACCTTTTCTTCAGTTCTTTCAGCATTAGAAATGACGAGCATGTTCTTCCCTGGAGGCTTTCTAATTCCAGGTCTTTGTACTTTATTTACAATTTATTTTACAATATTTTGTCTTCTCGGGTTTCCCTTTGGAATACTCTGCTCAGCTCTTTTATTTCATTTGCTTCCCCCATTTGCTTTAGTTTTTGATGTTCAAGACCAAGTTTCAAATGTCATCGAACCAACAGGACATTAGAGAAACCCACAGAAGGCTGAGGGGAGACGGTGCCTGGAATGAAATGAAGCAACTGTGTCAGGGAGACTTGGGGATGAGCTTCCATCGTCCCTGGGAACTAAGCAATGGGGTAGACCAGGACTACTGAGAAGGCAGAGAGAAGATGGTCCTGACTGAGAGAGCCTCTCTTGGGGACCAAAGATTTCCATCCAGCACATTCTGACCTGAGAGCTACAGACTGCTTGCACCCTCCTGACCGGGGTGTGTGGGTACGAATGCAGAGACGAGTGGACCCCAGGACCGTCCAGCTCAGAAATTCCCTCAGGGAGGAGACAGCATTTTATAGCCCATGCGAACGTGAGAGTGGGCCCTGCCATTCATGCGGGGCAGGTGACTGAGGAGAACCCTGAAGAGAGATCAGTCCACTGGTGCCAAGTAGTGTCCGAAGGAGACACTGAGGGGGTTGCTTCCTATGAGGCTGGTGAGGTTTGGTGAGAAACATCATAGCGTTCCAAGAGCTCTTGTACCAATCATTTCATCGTGAAGATCGAAAGACTACTTCTGACAGCCCACGGGAAGCCTGGCTAACAGCAGTGTGTGTTCCTCACCCAGTGGTTTGTGTAATGGGGGAGGGGGCTGGAGGGTGGGAAATAGGAGAGAGGGAGGGAGCATGAGATTAAGAATAAGTTGACCTTTCAAAATGCCATCAGCCTCCGTGGAAGGGTTTCCCCACAGAGAGCAGCCTCTGTCAGGCCAGAAGTCTTGTGTGGCAGAGCCGACGGTCTACTGAAGAGTCATCTCAAATTACAACCCAGTCAGGTACATGTGGCAAGGGCAATGGCGGCCATCCTGAAGATTTCCCCCAGGGCACATGATCGTGCACGTGCATGACAAGGAAATACTCTTGAAACCTGTTTTTCTGGATTATATTTGGAGGGAGACACTAATAATAATAATAACACACAGGCACCCAAGGCTGTGCAACATCACCTACGATGAAGGAAATCCATGTTAGTTAAAAGTTACCCCCAGACAAATGGAGTCGCAGGAGGAAAGACTAGCTCTAGATACATAGACTGGACTTGTTATTCTGCCTGGAGCTGGAGCAAACACATTCCAGGCCCTGGCCCTGGCCCACACAGGACTCTCAGTAGAGGCAGACATGCTCAGAAGTCTCTCTCTTCTTGTGTTTTCCCAGTAGGGCGTGGTGCAGTGAACGAGGGGATATAGCTCTTCTGACCCTGGTCTTTGAAATCCCCACCAAATGGCTGGGTGGGAGCATGCAACTAGAGGGATGAAACTGTAACATGGAGGTTGGTCAGTTTGTTCATCTTATTGGGTACAAACTGAGCCATCTCAGGAGCAGGAAAGACAGATCTCACTGCCATCAAGAGACAAGAGTCAGGAACGGAACATGTCCTCTGAACCCCAAGATTCCTGTGTGTGGAACAGCCTTGAGCCAAGAGCTGTGGCTGCAGAGGAGTGGTGACAACAGAAGCTGCAGAACCCAAAGCCAGAGCCAGAGCAGTGGGCTTTCCAGCCCACAGATCAAGGAAAACTGAGCGCCTTCAGGCAGGAGACTCACTTTCAGAGTAGACTACCTCCAGGGTCTTAACTGGAGAGCTCGGTTTGCTGACCCCTGGAGAGAGAGTTGGGGGCCTTCAGCCTGCAGCTTATGGAGGAGTAGCACGCCCTTTGGACATTTATTGGCAGCACTTAAAAAAAGAGCCTTGTAATATCGCAGGGCAGAGACCAAGGGACTGTGTGACTGAGAGGCCAAGGACCAGAGAGGTGTGCATCAGGCACAGCTGAGAAGAGATGCTCCTGACTGGAAGAACTGCATCCTGAACATTTCTGATCTGGGATTGTAACCTGTGAACGTCCCTGCTAAACCCCAATCGTATTACCTGTGCTTTCTGTGTGGCCACAGTAATACATTTCACTCCCCTGAGAGAAGCAGAGAGGGCTGTGGGAGGGACAGCTGGTGTCAGAATGGATGGAGATGGTTGACAGGTGAGGCAAGGACCAGAGAAACTGGCCTTGGGCTGATGCTGCTTTTGATGCCCTTGCCCCCTTGTGGAGCCAGAGGAAGTTAGATGCCACCACCCCACCATTTTCAATTCCCCTTGTTTCAGTGCTTGAAAACACACGGCTAGTCACAAATATCAGGGCCTTTGTGAGCACTGAATTCGGTTAGCACCATCTCGGTGTTCTCTGGTATTCAGTGGACCTGAATGGCAGCATGGCATAGATGTAGGGACACAAGCCCTGGATAGATCCAGAATTGATTCTGGTCATCTTATTTCTGGAGCAAGCCTGGTAAATGTTTCCAGTGTCTCTTTCTTGGGCCTGCCCTGCGCCTCCACCCTTTCCTCACTTACCAGAGTAATAGATTTGTGTATCCAGCATGCAGCTGGGAAGGCAGAAATGCCTAAAGCAATGCTGATCACAGAAAACAGGCATGATAATGCACAGATCCAAGTAGTTAAGATCATGGGCCATTTATTGCTATAAACATGTCATTGAGTAATCAAATAGATTTTCACATTAGGCACAGTTACTTAAGTCATAATTGAAATGGAGTCATAGAAATCTAGTAATAATGTGGTTAACTAAAGTCTACAGCAAGAAGGGACTTATCTTTGAGGATGCCACAGGGTACCTTATGAATGCTCTCATGATGGGTGGCCCCACCCATGGTCACTGGGTAGCTCAGTCCACCAGATGGGCTCCCTGCCTAGCTATGCATCAATCATTGACGTCATTACCCTCGTTTAGGAGGAGCATTCTGGTAGTACTTCTTCCAAGACAGATTTGTTTTTTTCCAGCCACTGTTCGTTGACAACACCGTGACTCAAAGGCGTGGGTTCTTCTTTGGTCTTATTCAATGTCCTGCTTTCACATGCACATGCGATGACTGGATATGCCATGGCTTGGGTCAGGAGCACCTTAGCCTTCAAAGTGACATCCTTGCTTTCAACACTTCAAACAGGCCTTGTGCAGCTGACTTGCCCACTGCTCAATGGCACTGTGGTCTTTCCTTTGCGCTTACACGGTACCAACACAGAGCTTCCGGGGGGCCGCTGCTCTGAGGAGAGCTGGAGACATCCCGCTCTGTGAGTTGGGCACATCCCCCGAGGAGCATCATGGGGAGACATGTCCTTGCTGGCCAGACTGAATGTGTGGAAGGAGCCAACACCTCTTGGCACCCAGTCTGAGGACAAAGGCAGGCGACCAGTTGGGAAAGCGGAGCTGGGGCCCAGGCCAGGGAGGCTCTAAGCCCAGGAGTCTGGTGTCCAGCAGGACACAGCAATCTCCTTGAGCCAGCGGGGCAAGAGGCCATGTGTCCCTGCCCCAATGTGGGCAGCAGAGGGGTGGAGGCCCTGGGCCTGGGAAGTGTGGATTCTCTTTGGAACGGTGTCTGCTCTGGCTGCTGCGGCTGCACCTGGAGGAAAGGGGCGGGCCCCGGCAAGCACTCACCTTGCCAGTGGTGTTTGTAGTCGCACATGCGGGACAGGGCGATCATCATGGCGCAGTACAGGGGCAGGATGGCCGCACACAGCCGCCAGCTCTTGCCGCGGCCGCTCTCGGTGAAGCAGTGCAGCTTGCCCGCCAAGTAGAACGTCGTGAAGCCAAGGCCAGAAAAGGCAACTGGCAAAGGGAGAGAGCAGGAGTTACTCCAGCAGATGGTGGCCGGGCGGTATGGTCACAGGCCACCCTGCATGCCCGAAGGGCCGGCTAGCCAATCTGTGCTCTCGGTGAGAACTTCTTAACTCCGCGCAAGACCTTCCAAGCTGTCACGTGAACAGAGCCCACTCTCCCTCCCTCATTCGCGCATTCAACCATGATGTCAAGAGCACCTACTGTGTGCCAGGACGATCACCAACCGTTGGGTCTCCAGGGGCACACAGTCCGGTGGAAGGGCCTGCCTTTGATACAATGCATTCGGTTTTAGAAGAGGAGAGAATCGGGAACCTACCGTCGCTTTTCTGGGGGAGGTGGTTAGCAAGCACCAGACTGACGAGGAGGAGGGGGTAGTGACAGGACTGGGGGCTCGGCAGCGGGGGAGCTGGTTCCATTTACTGAAGACAGGAGCTCCAAGGGCAGAGGAATGGCAGGGGCTGCTGCTTGCAGGTCAGCGTGGGCTGAATCACGAAGCTGGTTTCCTTCAGTGGGTAGTGGGGAGCCATAGAAAGCTCTTGAGCAGGAGAGCAATACAATTAGATTGTCACCATCAAACTATTCAGAAGACCTTTCTTCTGAGGCGCCCAGGGATCTATACACAGGGGGTGCTACCCACCTCTATGTCGTGACTAGGGGTGGGCTCTGGGGAAGGGGGCTTGAGATGTGGTAAGAGCCTTGCTTAGTTAGCATCACACAATTGATCCTGGATTCCAGACTGGGAGTTCACTCTGAAATGGTTCGGAGTTGATGCTAAAGGAACACTGTTGGAAAAATGAAGTGACCTTCAATTTGCTGGGGAAACAGCAGTGGACTAGCTGCACTAACCCTGCCGCTGTCCTATAAATAAAAGGCAAGCAGAGAGTGCCAGCAGGTGAGGGAACAGCCTTGGTGAAGAACAGGGACACGCTAGGAAGAGGGCAAAACCGGGTCATGGGTGCACGGCGCAGGGCTTGGGCTACCAGGTGATGGCCAGTGAATGAGAAGAACCAGCCCCCAATGAGCCACAGGTAGAATTGGAAAACGAACATGGCTTTTTAGACCTTCCCATTTGGCCTGATGAAAGGAGGGAAATGCATTCATCAACCTGTCTGAACAAGTGGGGTCATGTGCCAGGGGACATCATCTAGGCCTGACTCAGACAAAGACAGCACTTGTGACAAAGAATGAGTGTGTGTGTGTGTGTGTGTGTGTGTGTGTGTGTGTGTGTGTGACAGACAGGCTGGAACTCATCGCATATTGAGTTCTGAGCTTTTTGTTCACTTAGGTGGACGCCATGGTTGGGGCTTGTGTGTGGTGTAAAGTATGTGTGTGTGTGGCGGGGGGCGTTCTGTATGGGAGCAGTGGTCCTTATCCATGGAGTCACCTTTAAAACCTAAGGAGTTTTTAAAAACACTGGTAGGCAGACCCCTGCCAGGGGTTCTGTTTGCACGGCCCAGAGGGCTCCTGGCATTTGTGTTTGCTTTCTGAAGCAGGCCCGCTGATGCCAGTGACCGCCAGGAGCAAGAACTGCAGGCTGGGAGGGTTTGTTGAAGGCAGGTGCTGGTTCTAAACCCCTTTGCCCGCCAGCCTGATCCAAACTTCCCTCAAGTTTAGAAACAGTCCTGGATCGGGCAGAGCTCCTAGGTAACCAGCCCACTGAGCAGCTTGGTAAACGGGCCTTATAATCCTTGCAAGATGCAGACACCAGCACCATGAGCTTATGAATTCGTGCTCGCACCAGTGGCTCCAGTGGGGCTTGTAAGAAATGCTGACTGTCCAGTCAGCCCCAGCCTTTAGCCACCTTCTCTAATACGTCCGCTCCATCACGTCAACAATTTCTAGGTGATGGGAATGGCTTTGAGAGTCATCATTTATATGAAAAACCATTGGACTTTTAAAAAGTAATTTTTTCAATAAAAAATTAAATTAAAAATTAAAAATAAAACTTTTAAGCAAAAAAAAATGATTATGGTGCTGGAAAGGATTGTCTAGCCCATCACTCCCTCGGTTCTTCTTTGGGAAAGACGTGCATCAGGGTTGTATCCTCTCACCCTACGTGTTCAATCTGTGCACTGAACCAATCATCAGAGAAGCTGCGTGACACGGGGAAGAATGTGACATCAGAACTGAAGGAAGGCTTATTAGCAACGTGCGCTCTGCAGGTGACACAACCGTGCTTGCTGAAAACAAGGAGGACCAGAAGCACTTGCTGGTGGAAAATCGGATTGCCACCTTCTTCCTGCACTATGTGGATCATGGAATCCTCGAAGACGGCGCTCGGGGCTGGATTTTCTTCAGTTCTTTCAGACTGAAGTACGATGCGCATGTTCTCCCCTTTGGGCTTCATGACTTCTTGATGCCCTCCCACAGCTCGCTACGTCTTCTGTCACTGGTGGTCAGTGTATCCACTCTTTTTGAGATCAGCTCTACCAGCCTTTGGGATGTACTCAAGCTCCTAGTTTGGCTTTCATGGAGCTGTTTTAATTTTCTCCAGCTTCACCTGAACTTGCATACGAACGACTGATGGTCTGTTCCGCAGACGGCCCCTGACCTTGTTTGGGCTGCTGATACTGAGCGTCTCTGTAATCTCTTCCCACAAATATAGTCTATATTGACCTTGACAAATTCAATGATGCCTTCTCTAGCTTCGTTTCTATCACCAAGGCTATATTTTGCAATGATTGATCCTTCCTCTTTGTTGCCAACTCTTGAATTCCAACCACCAGTAATTATCGATGCATCTTGATTGCATTTTGGATCAATTGTAGACTGAAAATGTTGGTATGATTCTTCCATTTCTTTATCACGGGTTTTAGAGCTTGGATTGGGTTGGAATTGGAATAATAGTTGTAATAGCAGACCTTCCTGGTAGGCATGTAGGCATTATCCTATTACAAACAGCGTTGTTCCTGAAGACGGAGCTTGAAATGCTTTCTCAGAATGTGACACCATGTTCCCTGACACCATTATTCATTCCCAGCATCGTCAAGCATGTGATTTGTGCAATTCAAAATGGCCGATATTAGCTCACAGATGACAAAGACCTGTCTTTCTGAACTCTCTTTCATTTTCGGCAACGTCCAATCTTCCTAGCTTCATTCTTTGCACATGGAGTCCACTGTTAACCAACCATTGCTTCCCAACAGCTTCAGGATGCCAGGAAAAGGACATGAACCAGGAGAAACGCAGAATTAGAACCAGTTACCCAATTGCTTGTCCAACCGGGACTCGTCGGTCACTCACTGGATCACTCAGCAAGTCGGACCTTGCAAAGAAAGACCAACGTGCTCCAGTCCTCCAACCCCAGTGCTGTCCGGGGCCGTCGAGTCAGATCCGACTCACAGCAACTTCACAAACAACAGAACAAAGCAGAGCCCAGTCACCACCACCCTCACCGTCACGGCTCTGTTTGAGTCCATGGTGGCAGCCACCGTGTGCACCCATTCCATGAAGGGTCTTCCTCTTTGTCACGGACCCTCTACTTTATCCAGCATGGTGTCCTTCTAAGGAACCGGCCCCTCCTGTTCACACGATACCTCAAATGCTTCGATTCTCTGCCAGTCTCCCTTCTTCACTGTTCAGCTCTCAGCTCACGGCCGTAGAGTTCAAGTCTGACTCAAAGAGACCCAACAGGACAGAGTAGAACTCCCTTGTGGCTTTCTGAGACCATAAATCTTTGGGGGAGAAGAAAGCCTCATCTTTCTCGTGTGGAGTGGCTGGTGGTTTCAAACAACTAACCTTGTGGTTAGCAGCCTGACACTTAACTCACTATGCCACCAGGGCTCCACTGTCTAGTGCTAGGCTCTTTCATTGTAAGCATCTACCTAAGAAAGCTCTATCCATCAAACACCATCCCAGGGCACCTGCATCTGCTGTCAGGAGCGACCCACAAAGGCGCTGGCTTACATTTTCGGAGACCCAGAGTATTTTAATTACAGGGACATCAAATGGCATTTTTATGACAACAGTGATTTTGTTCTTCAGAAACTGGAAGTAACACTTCTCCAGATAAAAACAACAAAGGGAGCCTACCCACACATCGACTCATTATTCAAGTGCAATGAACTCCAACTAACACTTAATTACAAGAGGCGTTTTGAGGCTCAGGGTAGAGTAAGGCCTGGCATTCTCTTGAGGCACTTGATTGATTTCTCAGATTGCAAATTCAAGCCACTGAGGATTCTTGAAACATTGATTCAGCAAGAGCGAGCCCAGGGAGCATTCACGGCTGGTAATGGGAATGAATACAGAAGATACGACCTGGCCAGTTGTCTGCTACCCATCTTAGACCAGGATGGATTTCAAGCTTCAGTGCGATTCCATTTTTCTAGCGCAGCCATTCCTTAAGGGTGAAAAGACAGGCTTCATCCCCTTTCCTGCCTATTCATTACCAAAGGCACCTGGGACTCGGCGCCATTTGTTCCGTGCTTTGCATGCTTGGCACAGGGGCCAACAAAACTGCTAAGCCAGGGCCTGGGCTGATTATTTTCTTGTTCAGAATTATGAGCAATAAAACCTGCCCCACAAAGGTGAAACCCAAGTGGTTTTGTCGCCAACTTTTTGAGGAAGGAAGCAGCTACTTCGTGCATGAATCTTCAAGAGGAGAGTGTTCCCAGAGTCCAGCGTCATGAATGTAAACACACACCCACTGCCATTGCGTCTATTCCAACTCGCAGCCACCCTGCTCAGATGAGTCTATGGGCGTGAGGGACTCTTTCAGGCCAGCGGCTGACCTCGGGTGACCCAGTTATCTCACCATGCGACTTCAAGTAACACTTCGATGGAATCCTGATTTATCACCCACTCATTTTCAAGTTAAAACAGACCCCACGGGAAAGCCTTTGTCCATTATCACACTGCCTCCATGCAGCCTTGAGATCCCCAACGTGTGAACAGTACATCCCAAGATCATGGAATGCTCGCTTTGGATCTGGTTTTGCTGACTCAGCTAAGATGCACGCAGCTATTAAATGCTGGAAAACACAGAC